TTTTATAATTGAAAATATATTTTTAAGATAACAATCTAATACAAAATAATTAACATATTTTCTAAAAATATAATATTATTAACATAAATTCGTTTTTATTTTATAATAAATTATTAAAACATGAAAATAAGCAAAATAACCTAAAATCATGGAGAAGTTGACAACTAAGCAAATTTACTTCTCAAATAATGTTATAGATGTATTTGTTGACATGGAATTAAGTCAGAACCATGCCGATCCTTAGATTTGGTGGGAAATTAATTTAATTTTTTTCTTTTACAATTTGGAAGTTATATTTTTTGTCAATCAGATACTGCCATTACTAAGTAGAAACAGAGTTTCAAACTACAGCAAGGCCTGATTTTGCCAAAAGATCAACCTGAGACTTTTCAGAACGTGGAATGAAACTAAAAGATAAGAGATAAAAGCAAGTAGCAAGGTTCCTGATATCAAATAGGACACCTGCAATCTCATTCATATCCAAGCCTAATCAATTTGGAAGTATATATCTATGTATATTAATGCTTAAAATTTGGTGGTCCAAAAATTAATATTTCACCTTGCTATGTGTAAGACCAACATATTACTAAGGAATATGACGACTACATCAAAGGAAACAAATCAACTTGAAAGACCAACATATTACTAAGGATTTACATATCTGTAAACTCTTTTGGAATGTGTATTGACTATTGACTTAGTATTTGTGCTATTGACTATACTTATTTGCTTTCTATTAAAGACTAGTGGGACGATAAGTATCGGAATCTCTTTTCCCAAATAATTACGGTTAAATCTAATGAGAGTATAGTCAAAAAGCTTATTTTGTTAATTCACTATATCAAGACCATAAACAAATAGTATAAATATTACTGGAAACTCGAAAGCATCATCAAAGCCATTTCGTAGTTCCGCAATGAAGCTTCTGTTGCTACTGCTTGCCTTCTGCTGCCTTTCTCTATCAAGTTGTTCCCCTTCTTTTCCTCTGATTTTCATATACTATTATTGTTGTTATGTTTAATTGAATCTCCTATAAGGTTTCTCTATCAATATATATATCTTTAATGCTTGTACATAGTAAGAACTTTTGAATCTCTTATTATTAACGAAAAGTAAAATAATTAATATATCATAATTTTGTATAAAAACTTTTTCCAGGATGTGAAGAAAAGAAGTACGTACCTTATGATTACTCGGCAACGATAGAGGTAAACAGTTGTGTGTTCTTTCAGACGTGTTCATTATAAAGTTCTGTTTTCTGATTAGCTTTTTTGTCCTGGTGCAGTGTCTAAGTGACCCTAATAAGCCACAGTACAATGGAGGGATCATCGTGAACCCTGACCTACAAAATGGTTCACATGGCTGGTCCCAACTCGGAAACGCCAAAGTTGAATTCACAGAATTTGGAGGCAATAAGTTTGTTATTACACGAGGGAGGAATCACTCATATGATAGCGTCTCACAAAAGGTTTATTTGGAGAAGGGACTTCTCTACACTTTCTCTGGTATATATAATTTCAAATTTGTGTATCTTGGCTCCCACTCTCTAGAATTTTTCAAGCATTGTGCCAGCTATATAATCTTATGTATTTTATGTTACTTGTAGCATGGTTACAAGTAAGCCAAGGGAACGCTCCTGTGAGAGCCATTTTCAAGAAGAATGGTGAATCTAAGGTTGCCGGTTCAGTTATTGCTGAATCCAAATGCTGGTCCATGCTCAAAGGTGGTCTCACTGTTGATGAATCTGGTCCTGCCGATCTCTACTTTGAGGTATCCTTCATATACGAACATAGTCATGGTCTAGATTGTTTGTCTAAGGAAACCACTACGTTTAATATATTTTAACAAAGAAAGTTGCAACAAGAAGGCCAAAATTAATTTTTTTAAATTAAGGATTTATTTTGAAAAGTAATTTCTGATATATCATATATATATTTCTTTTCATTTTAAAATGTCAAAAAGAAAACGTTGCAAACATAGAAACTGACCAATGTTCTTATTGACTTATTGTTATGTGTAGAGCGAGGACACAACCGCTGAGATTTGGGTGGACAGCGTCTCGTTGCAACCATTCACACAAGAAGAGTGGAACTCTCACCACAAGCAGAGCATTAACAGGAAGAGGAAAGGATCCATGAGGATCAGAGCCGTAAACAGCGCCGGTGAGCCAGTGCCAAACGCAACCATCTCCATCGTTCAAAACAGACTCGGGTTCCCATTCGGGTGCGCGGTAGGAAGTAACATACTTGGGAACCAAGCATACCAAAACTGGTTCACTAAGAGATTCACCGTGACAGCTTTCGGGAACGAAATGAAATGGTACAGCACGGAAAGTGTAAGAGGTAAAGAGAATTACTCGACCGCAGACGCGATGGTCAAGTTCTTCCAGCAACATGGGATCCCTATTCGTGGCCACAATATTATATGGGAGGACCCTAATTATCAACCGAGTTGGGTGAAGGCTTTGAACGGACCCGATCTCTACAACGCCGTGAAGAGAAGGGTTTTCTCGGTCGTCTCAAGGTACAAGGGCCAGCTTGCGGGTTGGGACGTTGTGAATGAGAATCTCCATTTCTCATTCTTTGAGAACAAGATGGGCCCTAAAGCCTCATATAACGTCTTTGCGCAGGCGCATGCCCTTGATCCAAAGACTACAATGTTTATGAATGAATTCAATACGTTAGAGCAACCAGGGGATGCGGCTTCTAGTCCTTCAAGGTATATACAGAAGCTTAGAGAGCTTCAATCTATTCGTGTCGCCGGAATTATTCCTTTAGGGATCGGTCTTGAGTCTCATTTCAAGACTCCTAACATTCCGTATATGAGATCAGCACTTGACACTTTTGGTGCCACTGGTTTGCCTATTTGGCTCACTGAGGTCGACGTAGAAGCTCCTCCAAATGTTCAGGTAACTCAAATATATATTCTTTTATAAGCCCTACCAAAAATTACGTCCCATTCAGTATGGCATGGCCGGATCTGAACTGTGGGGACATTTTTTAGGTTTATCTTAATAAAAAACTTTTTTGATAATTTGGGGGTATTTGATTTATGCCTAATAACTTTTTTGATAAAAAACTGTCCAGAACCACACTGCCATTTTGTTTCACTCTGTCTGATATCTGAGTTTCTTGCAGGCCAATTATTTCGAGCAGGTCCTTAGGGAAGGCCACGCACATCCGAAAGTGAAAGGGATGGTGACGTGGTCAGGTTATAATCCAAAAGGCTGCTTCCGAATGTGCCTCACCGATGGCAACTTCAAGAACCTACCAACCGGAGACGTTGTGGACAAACTTCTGCGTGAGTGGGGAGGGCTTCGTGGGGAAACCACAGGTTTAACTGATGCTGATGGATTCTTTGAAGCTTCACTCTTCCATGGTGACTATAATCTCGATATTTCTCACCCTCTAACCAATTCAACAGCTTCTCACAGCTTTAAGTTGACTTCTGAGGATTCCCACCCATCTCCTTCAATTGTCTTCCGTGTTTGAGACATAAGTTACAAATACTGTAAAACATCTTGATACTCATAAAATAATAATTTCAATAAATTAATAAATTTAGTTAATTTCAATTTGGATCAATGTAATATATGATCGATAAAATAATAAAATAATAATTAGAAAACATCTATGTAAATATATGTTTTCATTAAAATTATAAATTAATAGTTTATGTATACACATATTTTAAATAAGTAATAACCTATTTAATTACTTTTTTTATATTGACAATGTAAATTTTTTTTTTGTCAATATAAAAAAATTCCATTGTCAATATAAAAGATAATAATATAATGATAGGTTCTTACTTATCTAAAATATGTGTACACATAAATTATTAATTTATAAATTTAATTGAAATATATATTTACAATGGAATTTTCTTTATATTTTGTAACACTTAATATATTTTGATGAGATTTAGTAATATTATATCTAAAACCACATTTAAATTTTATGCAATATATCTTCTATACACCAAATAATATAATAAAATTAATATATATGTCAAATTTCAAAAAATAATAATTAATGTATATGTACTAAAATAAAATATTTTCTTATCTTATAATAAATATATCCCAAAAAATCAAAATAAATAAACTTTTATAAACTAATATCTTTATAAATTTTAAAATCCCAACATTATTAATTTATAGAGGTTGTATTGTACTCTGTAATCAAGTAGTTTGATTTTTATTTTTAGTCTTGTGTGAGGAA